TGAATCTTGATCACATCTCTCGGTAAAGCTGAGAGTCTGATTGAAAGGCGGAAATTGTTGAAAAAGAGACAGCAAACCCCAAATCGAGTCACTTGCATTAAGCCCACATCACCAAACTGAGACTTAATAGCTAACTTAAGTGCAGTTTCAACCTCTCCTAGGAGTGGAATCTTAAACCAGTCAATCTGGAATTACCTGGTCAGACTAGTGAGGTCATCTGCCTGATAGACTCTTGCCATCCTCCAAAGGAAATTGACCTTGCCACAAGCAATCCTCTCTTTGCCAGTAACTTCCTTGTCCTACTCCTTCCACCTATAGAAGTCTTTCATTTTGTACAGCTCTTCAGAGCTCCTTTCTAACTTCTAGGTGGGATGCTGCCCAACCCATGAATCATTGAGTAAAACTAACAAGGTCATTAAAATTTATTCAGTTGATTATTTATTTATTTATTTATTTATTTATTTATTTAGAGGAAGACTGGCCCTGTGCTAACATCTGTTGCCAATTTTTCCTCTTTTTTCTTTTTTCTCCTCAAAACCCCAGTACATAGTCATGTGTCATAGTTGTACAGTTGTAGCTCCTCTATATAGGATGCTGCCTCAGCATGGCTTGGTGAGCAGTGAGTAGGACTGCGCCCAGGATCCAATCTGGTGGACCCCGGGGTGTCAAAGCAAAATATGTGAACTTAACTGCCACACCACCAGGCCAGCCCCTGAATATTATTTTTAACACCTTTAAATCATGGCAAGTTACTCAGGTCTCCCGTTTATAGAAATCATGTAAAAATTCATTTATCAGAGAGCATGTTAAAGTAAAAAGAATTAATCCACTTAAGAAAACTGCTAATAATAGTACAGATGGTATGCTATTATGGAAAAAAAAGTGATGTTTTTAATGAGAAGAACTGAGGTTCCAGATATAATGCTAATGTCTAGGCTGCATTGGAAAATGTCATAGAATTCTAGATTCACAGAATATTGATCCATGGTGAACAGTACTTGAGAGGTCACCTCATCCATAGCCACCCCCTGCATATCAGCACCCAATTCCAAGAATGGACTCCCGAATATCACCTAGTGGGGTTCCCAGACCTCTGGTCTCCAGTGCCGTGTTCCCCACCATGAAGGCTCTGCCTGATTAATCCCGTGATTAATAGACAAAGTCAAGGGAAGGGCCCAGTAGGACAGGGGCTCCTACTAGTCCAGTGCTTGTTCTAGCATGTGCTCTCCATGTATCTATTGAGTAAACTGATGGAGATGGAGAGGTTTGGGGGGCTAATTTGGAACCCCCAGAGGCGTCTTCTCTCCTAAGACCTGCCCAATCACTTAGGAGTTAAGGTCAGTTCCTAGGAGTTTACTCTTCAGACCATGTAGTTCCACAGGGGAAACCTCAGGGAGTTCCCCGAGGGAACAGCGATAATCCCAGTCAACTGCCACTGAAACTAGAAGAGCTGGATCTCTTACAGCTAATGTGACACAGGGATATTATACATGTTAACCAAAACTGAGGTCTGGCTTGAGGCTTCATAGACTCCAACCTCACTCATCACTTCTGCAAAGTCATCATGAGCCAGGAAAGAGCCAGCAGGCTGCAGCCAGACAAGGCAAGGTCTGGGAGTCGCTTCTTCTATTTGCAGAACTGGTTGGTGTCACAAGGGGGCATGTGATTGAACAAGGGAATTGGGAGAATAATTCATCCCTACCTTTTTTATTTTGTGAGGACAGCACCCTACAATCTTCATCGGATAAGAGCCAGGGCTATGTTCCCAGGTTGCAAAGGTCAGCTGACCAGAGCAAAGGGCAGGATGGTTATGCCTTAACAGATGTGTGTGTGTGTGTGTGTGCGTGTGTTTGTGTGTGTGTGGTGTGTGTGTGTGTGGTGTGTGTGTGGTGCGCTAAGTTATTAGAAACAGCCTCATTGTCTGCTATGAGACCTCCCAGATTGTTCCATGTGGATAGAGATAAGGGTGCTATTTATTAAGGCACTCTTTATGACCAGTGATTCTTTCCTGGATAAAAGGGAGAACCCCCAGGCCAGGTCAATCTTTGCAGAAGCCATGACCTGTGGGGACTGACTCTAATGCTGTCACAAAGTTCTCACCCCACCACAGGGATCCCCATCACCTGCCTGTCACAGTGTCTAGAATTAGTGCAAAAGAGCATCCCTTTTAGAATTTTGAGTCTCCAGAAGCTTCGTTTCAGCTATAACCTATGGCCCCGGCCAAGAACATGTCAGCTTTTCCGGGATTATCATGTGCTTTATGCTGCTGGTTGCCAGTTCTCCCTGATTTCAATATTGGTCTGGCCTGGACAAAGACAGACTTGTCAATGACACTGGGAAAATAGTGTGATAGTGGAGAAGGCACAGCTGTCTTTTTATTGCACTGGCCTGGAGACAACCCTGCTTCACGTCTGCACCCTCCATTGGCAAGAACAAATATCATGACTCTGTTTAATGTGAGGGGGACTAGGGCATGTGTTCCAGGCTGGGCAGCATCTTCTCAGTGACAAGTGCACACTGGGAGAGGAGACCATGAAGTGTGAGCCATCATCACACACCTCCACCACCTGCTCACTACCTCTCCCAGGAGCCCCAGCACTCCTATTTCCAACCGTCCTTCCAGGCAGCCTGAGGATCCAGGAGGAGTTAGCAGGAAGGTGCGGCACTTTGAAGGGGTGGAGGTGGAGGAGATCCTAGAAGACAGAGGCTACATGAGCTCACCCACAGGGGAACCAAGCATGTGCTTAGGGCACCAACAAATTTGGTTTTTCAAAAAGTTTTTGACACCACAGCAGAGTGCTTGTGAGTATGGGCTGTAACGTTATGCAACTTTTGTTCAATCCTCAGCTCTTCCTCATACTTGATATGTGACTGTGGGCCAGTTCCTGGACCACGCTGTGCCCCACGAGATAACAGAATCAATTCATAGGGTTATTTTGACAACTAAATGAGATTCCACAAAACACTCAGCACTGTGTTTGCCACACAGTGAGCTCTCAACATATATTTGTCAAATGAAAGTCTGAATGAATAAAAGTGGAAAATACTAACAAGTGTAAACACTCACAAAATTATAGCCAGGAAATGGTTATTGTAATGCAATTTAAATGTATAATCTTCCAGAATTTTTCCTATGAAAATAAAGATACGTATTTTTACTAAAATGAGATATTATACATGACTGGATTTTTATAAAATGTTTCTTTATTTTATTGAAATATAATTTACATACCATAAAATTCACCTTTTCAAGTGTACAGTTCGGTCGTTTTGGTGTGTTCACAAAGTTGTGTAACCATCACCACTCTCTCACCCCAGAACATTTCTATCACTCCTAAAAGAAACCTCATACCTATTAGCAGTCATTCCTCATCCCACACCCCCCATCCCCTAACAACCTATAAACTACTTTCTGTCTCTAAAGATTTGCTTATTCTGAACATTTCTTGTAAAGAGAACCACACCATGTGTGGCCTTTTGTGTCTGGATTCATTCAGTAGCATAATGTTTTCAAGGTTCATGCATGTTGTAACAGGTATCTGTACTTCATTACTTTTTACAACTGAATAATATTCCATTGTTTGGGTAGATCACATTTTATTTGTCCCTTCATCAGTTGATGGACATTTGGGTTGTTTCTACTTTTGGCTCTTACAAATAATGCTATTTGTATACAAGTTTTTGTATGGACATGTTTTCAATTATCTTGAGTACATATCTAGGAGTGGAATTTCTGGGAAATATGGAAACTGTATGTTTAATTTTTGAGGAGCTGCCAAACAGTATCCCAAAGCAGTCAGAACTATTTTATAACCTGTTTTCTTCTCTTCACAATAGATCATGACTCTCTTTCCTTGTCAATAAACAGAGGTGTGCATTAGTAGTTTGAGTGAATGCATAGTATTTCCTTAGCCAGCTGTACCAGAGTATATTTAATGAATTCCCTATTGTTGGACATTTAACGATTCTATGAAACAGGCTTTGAGCATTTTCCTTGTGTCCCCAACAGGTAAAGGACACTTTCCCAGGTGTACCCAGAGCACTTTGCATCCCTCTATTCTGGTGCTTTCACATTGCATTGCAATTCACACTCCCCATGCCCCATCTGTCTTACCTACTACGTGATGAACGTCTTGAGTTGATGCAACAAGTCTTGAATTCATCTTTGTATTTATAACATTTAGCATAGTGTCAGGCATTTGGTAAATGTTTGGAGAATGAATGAATGAATACATGGAATAATGAATAAATAGAAGGATGGATGGGTGGGAGAATGAATGAATAGAACCGGGGACTATGGAGGGATGGAGTTTGTTTACGCAAGAACATTCTGTCCAAAGATCCTTGCCTCTAGAGGTAGTGAGTTCCCTGGCACTGGAGGTATGGGACAGGAAGCTGACTCACTTGGCAGGAATATTGTAAAGTTAATTTAGGCATCAGAAGGGAGACTGGGTGAAATTTAAGATGCTTCCAAAAGTCACAGCATAGAGCCCTATGAAACAGAAGCCAAGGGAAGCTAAGAGATTTGTCCTCAGTTCCCCAGCTGAGTAGCTGTGGGGCTGGGAGTTGCTCTAAAACTTTTCAAGCTTGTTCTGAGGATCCCAGAACAAAGTCTCCCCTTGTCTAAAGGCATCTGTATGCCTGTGCCTGCCTTTGGGAAGCTCACAGAGAACTGAGGTTAAAGTCCTGAAAGGGAGAATCTCTTATGTAACAAGTTGTTTGAAGAATCTGTGGCTATCTGTAATCAGAGAGTTTAGTTCAGGCTGTTTAGATAAAAGAAGGTAAACTCTGGGCAAGCGTGGAACAGAGGCACCAACAGACACCCAGAGCGATCTTTGGAAGGGAGAGAGTTTTTCTGCTATTTCCTGATTAGACTATTGGGTGAGAGATGGGGTGTGAGCTGGGGGGCAGGAGCCAGAAGGGGGTGGGAGCTGAGGGGCAGGACAGGAGTTGAGGCTCTGGGGCCTGACTGTACAGCCCCTCCCAGCAGCTCAGAGACCTGCAGGCCGAGGGCCTGCTGTCCTTCCACGATGTGGCTCTTCACTCTGGTCCTGGTCTCCCTGGCCACTTCCACGGCTTGCGGTGAGTCCTTCTGAAATACAAATAGTGGGGGCACATTCGAAAGCCTTGTCTGGGGACAAGGTGGAGGAGATACGTACAGGACAAAGGCATGACAGGTCCTGATTTACAGCAGCTGCCCTCAAGACTTGGAGCTCAGAGCGTCCCCAGTCCCAGGTCTGACAGAGACACAGAGGAGGATAAACACCCCCAGAGCTAAGCTGCCCATGCCAAGCACAGGAAAACAACCAATTAACCTAGTGCCTCGCAGATGAGAACTTTGACAGCTCAATTTATTTTCCCCTTGATGTTAGTCCAGATATGACCAAATTATGGAGAATGGCTTAACAGAATATAAATATCAACTCTGGGGTCACAGGACATGAGTTCAAGTCCCAGCTCAGCACTTACTAGCTGTGTGTCTTTAGGCATATTACTTCACTTTTCTATGCCTTGATTTCCACCTCTCTAAACCTGAGAAGAGGACAGTACCTACCTCATCGGGTTCTTGTGAGGAGGCAATGGGTTGTTGTTTCTAAAGAGCGTAGTTCCTGGCATGGAAAGAATACAAAAAAAAGAATTCATAAATAAAAGCAGTGTTTTAAATCATAGCGTATTACAGAAATTTGAGGAATGGTGAGACCGACAGAGCAGGAGCCGACTGCCATTGGAAAGAGAGTCTGTTACTCACAGTTCCCAAGGGGAGGGGGCACGTCACCAACATCAAATGGGCCATCACTCTTTCTCGGGCAGGCTTTGCATTTTGCTGTCTCAGAGCCTCATCTCGGCACATTCTCTTCTCTGCTTTATATCTTTATATCCCCTCTTCTAACTCCACTTGCTCAGCCCTCCCCCTGCTGCAAGTTCCAGCCCCAAGGTCATGGCCTCCATGATGCCACCAGTCAGAAGGCCTCGCTCCCTCTTCTAACTCCTGCAGGACCTTACTGGTGCCGCTCTCAGGACACTGACCACTTTCTTCCCAGCAGGAGGGTCAAGTATGTACGTGGCTCATTCTCCCTATAAAGTTCAGAGCTTCTGAGAAGAGGGACCACCTCTTGTTCATCCTCCCATCCAGCATGCAGCTCAGCTCCAGGATCCTAGTGGATAATTGTTTCCAGAGGCTCCTGAGAGTGGAAACCCAGTGTCTGTTCACTCCCAGCATCTCTCCTTCTTGCATTTAATTTTCACTTGATGCTGTTTTACCTCCAGTTCCAATTTGCTCCTTTAGATAGCCCTATGAGTTAGGAAGGATAGTTAATGTCATCTCTCTTTTACATAAGAAGAAACTGAGGCCTAGAGAGTTGAGGTCACTCGTTCAAGGTCACATGGTGAAAGTGGCAAGACCCACTTGGAATCTAAGTGACCTTCCACCTCTGACGTGTCCTCATTTCCTCTCAATGTCCAGCAGGGCACCCATCCTCACCGCCTGTTGTGGACACTGTGCAGGGCAAGGTCCTGGGGAAGTACGTCAGCTTAGAAGGATTTGCACAGCCCGTGGCCGTCTTCCTGGGCATCCCTTTTGCCAAGCCCCCTCTTGGACCCCTGAGGTTTGCTCCGCCGCAGCCTGCAGAACCATGGCACGTCGTGAAGAACACCACCTCCTACCCTCCGATGTAAGCCGGGGGGTGGCTTTGGCGTCTTTCAGTGGGGTGTTTGCCTCAAAGTGATGTGGGAAGGAGCCAAGGCAATCCTCTGAGCCTCACACTTTGTTCTGGAATCCTCAAGATATTGTAGATCCTTAAAGACATTCCAGAACTCTCACAACATTCTAGAGCCCTTTATTCAACAAATATTTATTGAGCACCTACTGTGTGCCAGGCATGTTCTAGGTTCCTGGGATCCATTAGTAAACAAAACAAAGATCCCATCTTCATGAAGCATACATTCTAGGAGCAGAGACAGATAATAAACAACGTGCAAATTAATAAATGAATTATATAATGTGTTAGAATATGATAAGCACTTTGGAAAAAATAAAAAGTTGACCAGTGAGGAGGATTGGAAGTAGTGGTTCTGTTTATCCTCCTGTTTGTACTTTGCGATAGTTGGTGAGAGGGGTGAGCCAGGAGGTGTGTGGGTGGGGAGTTCTGTGGGGTGTCGACCAGGTAAGTTCTCAACTTTCCAGTGTGTCCAGCCACCTGGTTACTAGCAGAGCAATAGTTGGTGTGTCCTAGTCACTTTTGTCAAGTTGAGCAAAGAAGCCCCTCAGCCATCTCCCAGGGCACCTGGATGCCTATGTGCACCCACTTAGACCTTATTCATCTCAGGAAGGCATTTATGGGAATTTCCAGGGTCTTGCCTTTTGCTGCCTTCTTTTCTTTTTTTTTGTATGTCTTTTTTCCTCTTCTCTACTTTTCTCCCCTTCCTTTAAAAATAATATTCACTCATCTTATTTCTTGATTGCAAGTGTAATACATATTTATTACAGAAAAGTGAGGAAGTATAGATAAGTAAAGGTAGGAAAATGAATATCATAGCCATTCCATCCCTGGAGAGAACTGCTGTTCATATTTTAGGTTCTGTTTTTCCGGTCTTTTACCTGTTGCATATTTTCTCTCTTAAAAATAGAATCACATAAGATTCTACACCCAATTCCAACATGTGTGTTTTTTTTTTTTCCCCCACACCAACAAGCAATTCTCAGACACAAGCTGGTTGTCCTACAGTTCAACTCAATTCGGACACTGTTCACTGGGAGGTAGTGTCAGATACCACATCTTAAGGGCTCAGTCCCACAAGACTGCCCTGTGCTTCAGATGCCAATTCCAAGTCCAGGTTGTGCTTCTGACTGATCCGCTATAAATCAGAGGTTCTCATGACCTCCTCCAAGCCATTAATTAGCTAGATCTACTCATAGAACTCAGGAAACTAGTTTACTCACAAGATGACCAGTTTATTGCGAAGGATGTTGATCAGTAGCCAGATGAAGAGATATCTAGGACAAAGTCCTGAAGAAAGGAGCTTCTGTCCTTGTGGAGTTTGGGGCCTGGCACCGTGGCACATGGAAGTGCTCTGGTTCATCACATTGGAAGCTCTCTGAACCCCCAACCTTTTTTTTTTTTTTTTAGTGACTGCTTCCTTACATAGACATGATTGATTAAATTATTGACCACTGTGCTTGCTTCGGCAGCACATATACTAAAATTGGAACGATACAGAGAAGATTAGCATGTCCCCTGCGCAAGGATGACACGCAAATTCGTGAAGCGTTCCATATTTTTTAACAACAATAAACAAACACATAGGGACAGAGATTGGATTGGTGGTTACCAGAGGGGAAGGGGGGAGGGAGGAGGGTGAAAGGGATAATTGGGTACATGTGTGTGGTGATGGGTTGTAATTAGTATTTGGGTGGTGAACATGATGTAATCTATGCAGAAATAGAAGTACAATGATGTACACCTGAAATTTTTACAATGTTATAAACCAATGTTACTGCAATAAACAAAAAATTAAAAAAAAAAAAAAAAATCATTGACCACTGACCATCGATTCAACCTCCAGCCCCTCTCTCTTCCCCAGAGATCAGGGGGATGGACTGAAAGTTCCAGACCTATAATCACACGCTTTGTTGTTCTGACAACCAGCCCCGTCCTTAGGTGGGGTCCAAATCCACCTCACTAATATAACAAGAGACACTTTTATAGTTCTCATCACTTCGGAAACTCCAAGGATTTCAGGAGCTCTGTACCAGAAACTGGACAAAATCCAAATATATGTTTCTTATTATAAGTCACAATATCCCATCACACTATACAGATAGTTTGGATGCCTGCTTTGCTCACTTATAAGTATATCATGAACATCATTCTGTGACATTAAATATCATAGCTTGACATTTAATAGCTGCATTGCCTTGAGTAGTGAATCATAATTTATTTACCCAATCTTTCATCTGAGTTCATTAAGTTGTCCTTGATATTTTTGATGATATAAATAGCACTCTGATGAACATCCTGTAGCTAAATGTTTATGTACCTTCATGAACATTTTTGGAGATGTTTCAAGAAACAATATTTCTGAGTCAAAGAGTATTCATCTGTTCTTAATTTCCCTCCAGTAACTTCTTCTGTTAATTAATGAAAACTTCCATTCATCAGAACTTTGGCAATGCTTGGGGTTATTAGAAAATGTTTTCTGGCTAATGGATAGGCAAAATAACAATAATAATAATTGTCATAAATATATGTATAATTTTGCTATTGTTTTGTATTTATTTTAATACTAGTGGCATTGAGCCCTTTTTTCCCATTTTGATGTTTGAATTTCTTCTTTTATGCATATCATGCCCCCTGCTCTTAGTGATCCCTGGAAAGTTCCTTCAGGATGAAAGTCAAGGAGTCATCTTTGCAGCCTCTGACTCTGCCACTTGACAGCTGTGCCATCCAAGCACCTTAGTGCCTCAATTTCCTCATCTACATACTGGGACAGTGATGCCTGCCTTCTGGGTACATTGAGATTCAGAAATGTAGCTGATAATGTCCTTGAAAATACAAGCACTCCATAGTATGGATCTGTGTAACCTTTGGCAGGTTCTCTAACCTTTCTGTGCCTCAGTTTTCTCAAGTGTAAAATGGGGATAATAATAGAATTTATGTCATGGGGCTGATCTGAGAATTAAATGAGTTAATACATAAGGGGTACTTAAAACAAGCCTGGCATGCTGGGAGGACTCAGTAAATGTTACCAATTATAATCTATGTTGGATCTTAAAGATATGTTAATTGGGCAGCCATTAGTGCTTGCCTGGGTTGGGTGATGATAGAATCTTAGCATGTCAAGGCTGCAAGACCCTTGTAGAAATCAGTCCTCTCACTTTAGACCTCCAGGATTCAGGCCAGACCAGGGAAGGTATTCACCAAAGGTCACTGAGCATATTAGTGGCTGAAGCAGGACTAGAATGCAGTTCTCCTGGTGTTGCCCCACCAATATTTCACCCCTGACCTGTTGTACACCCTCAATGTCTTCCATTTGAGTGACTTCTCATGGTTTATGGAAGTGTCCCGTGGACTAGAACACCTAGTTTATATGGTGGAGTAACATGGGCTCCCACCATACAGAGCCCAGCGGAGAATCAGGCTGTATCCATGTGTGCAGGAAGTGGTCCTCTCCCAGGTGTATAGGCAGCCTCCTCTCCTTGACCCAGGGAATCCTGAAGGCTCTGGGAAGGGGACAGGTGCCTAGGCCTCCTCACTATACATAATTCTTAAAGACCTCAGTGAACCCAAGTACCCCCCACCCATATCCCCAGACAGCCTCCTGCCAATTCCAGTGTCTCAAGTCTGGTAAGAACAACTCTATTACAGGCCTAACCCTCCCAGTCGAAGGTCCAGCCTGACTGTAGGAGATGTTTCTTCCCTTAGCTCTGATTGAACCTCAGGAGCTGTTCTTTTCCCCTGTCGCTCCCAGGTGCTCCCAAGACCCAGCGGCGGGGCAGATGGTCTCAGATCTCTTTACCAACAGAAAGGAGAACATCTCTCTCCAGTTTTCTGAAGACTGTCTTTACCTAAATGTGTACACTCCCGCTGACTTGACGAATGAAAGCAGGCTGCCGGTAAGCAGTGAGTTCCAGCGCTGTGGGATCTTCTGGTGGAGACCGGAAGAGGATGAAGGCAGCTTGGCGTGGGGGCCTCACCTGCCATGGCTGTTTCAGGGGCCCAGGACTCCCTTTTCCCACCACAGCCAGACCATGTGACCACAGGAAACACAAGTTTTCCCACCTCATTTTCCCCTAGTGACAGACCTAGGGCCTCTGGGGACTTTGCTGTACATCTATAACGTACATTTTAATTTTTCCAGTTCTCTCAGGCTAATAGAGGGAGAAGAATGATTACCCTTAGTTGCTAGATTAGGAATCTGATACCAAGAGAAGCTAGGATATAATTGCCAATAAAGTTAGAACTGGAAGGAATGTTAGAGATAAGCCAAAAAAACAACCCTTTCTTTACCAGTGGAGAAACTGAGCCCCAGAGACGGGAAGGTGAGGTCACACAGTACGGTTGGCAGGATGAGAGTGTGAGTCTTCTGATCTTCAAACCAGTGCTCTTTACACAGACTAGGAACTTGAGCCTGTGTGTGTCCTGTCCTCAGCACACAAAGATCCCTCTCTGAGGTGTCCTGTGAGGGAAGTGTGGGGACAGAACGTGGATCAATCCAAGAAGCCCTTTCTTTTGCCTTTGGCCAATTATCTGGGACTCACTTTGAGCTAATTGCCCACCCTGATTGTCTTTGGCGTGTGCTGATGACCCAGTGAGTCAGAATTTCCTGAATAAACGGAGGCCCAGAGATGGGGCAGGCTTCCAGACCAGGCTGGAGGGTGAGAGGGTCTGCTGGAAAAGGAGGGTATCCTCGGGTGGAGAAGGGAGGGGTGTGAGCACCCAGCCATCTCCCAGGACACACCTGGCATGGTGCCCAGGAGTGGAGGAGGCGTCTGTGAACTTGTGACTAGAAGTGGCACTGCACAAGCTTGGCCCAAAGAGGTGGGGGCAAGGGTTCATTCATTCATTCATTCACTTATTTCTTCTCTATTGCACACTCAGTGCCGCAATATGCATAGCTAGACTTGGGGGTTAGGAGAAAGGAGGAACATAAAACAATTAACATGCAGCCCCTGCCTTTCAGGATCTTACCATCTGGGCCATGCAGACAGAGACTAACTTCAGCAAATCACTACTCACCAGCTGTTGGCTCAGCCTTCACTCAGAGATGACTAACATTCAGTTCCTCCAGGGACCAGAGGTGTGAGAGGAACCTGGGAACATGGAGGCAGGAGAACATCTAGTTATGACACAAGTTCTGGAAATACAGGGCCTGGGTTTAAATCCTGTTCTGCCTTTTACTAACTGAAGGATCTGGCTCTCTTTCCTCAAAATGGGAATAATCACATATGAGTATTCACTGACAAATATCAAGCTTTATCTCAGTGCCTAGCAAGGCACACATGGACAGTACTCCTGACACGTTAGTTAGAGTGGAAAGGAAGATCTTACTCCTTCCCTAACAGCTGACCTGCTGCACCATGGACATAGGCTGCAGTGTGCTGGGCAGCTCAACATGTGGTCTCTGGAGCCAGACTGCCTGGGTTCAAGTCCTACTTCCACCACTTATTAGCTGTTAGATCTCTGGCTGGTTAAGTGCCTCAGTTTCTCTGTCTCTTAAATGGGACCACAGTAGTTCCTGCCTCAAGGATGGTTTAATTTTAATTGCTTAGAACAGTACTTGGCACATAGTTAATATTTTTTATTGATGTCTTAATAATTTATAACATTGTGAAATTTTGGTTGTGCAGTTTTGTTTTCAATCACCATATACATGTCTCCCTTCACCCCTTGTGCCCACCCCCCACCCCCATTGCCCCTGGTAACCACAGTACAGTTTTCTCTGTCCCTGTGTTGGTTTATATGCCACATATGCGTGAGATCATACAGTGTTTGTCTTTCTCTTTCTGGCTTATTTCACTTAACATAATACCCTCCAGGTCCATCCATGTTGTTGAAAATGGGAGGATTTTGTATTTTTTTTACAGCTGAGTAGTATTCCATTGTATATATATACCACATCTTGATCCAATCATCAGTCTAGGGACACTTGTGTTGCTTCCACTTCTTGGCTATAGTGAATAATGCTGTAATGAACATAGGGTGCATAAGCCTCTTTGAATTGTTGATTTCAGGTAGTTGGATAGATTCCCAGTAGTGGGATAGCTGGATCATAGGGCATTTCTATTTTCAATTCTTTGAGGAATCTCCATACCGTTTTCCATAGAGGCTGCACCAGTTTGCATTCCCACCACCTGTGTATGAGGGTTCCTGTTTCTCCACATCCTCTCCAACACTTGTTGTTTTTTGTCTTGGTGATTATAGCCATTCTAACGGGCTTGAGGTGATATCTTAGTGTTGTTTTGATTTGCATTTCCCTGATGATTAGTGATGTTGAACCTCTTTTCATATGCTTGTTGGCCATCTGTATATCTCTTTGGATAAGTGTCTGTTCATTTCCTCTGCCCATTTTTTGATCGGGTTGTTTTTTTGTTGTTCATTTGTGTGTGTTCTTTATATATTATGGAGATTAACCCCTTGTGAGATACATGTTTTGCAAATATTTTCTCCCAGCTGGTGGGTTGTCTATTCATTTTGATCCTGGTTTCACTGGTCTTGTAGAAGCTCTTTAATCTGATAAAGTCCCACTTGTTTATTTTTTCTTTAGTTTCCCTAGTCTGAGTAGGTATGGCATCCAAAAAGATCCCTTTATGACCAATGTCAAATAGTGTGTTGCTTATATTTTCTTCTATGAGTTTTATAGTTTCAGGTCTCACCTTCAGGTCTTTGATCCATTTTGAGTCAATTTTTGTGAATGGCGATAACAGATGGTCCACTTTCGTTCTTTTGCATGTGGCTGTACAGTTTTCCCAACACCATTTATTGAAGAGACTTTCCTTTCTCCATTGTATGTTCTTAGCACCTTTGTCGAAAATTAGCTGTCCGTATATGTGTGGTTTTATTTCTGGGCTTTAATTCTGTTCCATTGATCTGTGTGTCTGTTTTTGTACCAGTACCATGCTGTTTTTATTACTATTGCTTTGTAGTATGTTTTGAAGTCAGGGATTGTGATGCCTCCAGCTTTGTTCTTTTTTCTTAGGATTGCTTTAGCTATTTGTGGTCTTTTTTTGCCCCATATGAATTTTAGTATTCTTTTTTTGCTTTTCTGTGAAGAATGTCATTGGGATTCTGATTGGGATTGCATTAAATCTGTATATTGCTTTAGGTAATATAGACATTTTAACTATGTTTATTCTTCCAATCCATGTCCATGGGATGTCTTTCCATTTCTTTATGTCATCATCAATTTGTTTCAATAATGTCTTATAGTTTTCATTGTATAAGTGTTTCACCTCCTTGGTGAGATTTATTCCTAGATATTTTATTCTTTTTGATGCAATTGTAAATGGTATTATCTTTTTGAGATCTCTTTCTGTTAGTTCGTTATTAGCACACAGAAATGCAACTGATTTTTGTAAGTTGATTTTGTACCCTGCAACTTTGCTGTAGTTGTTGATTATTTCTAATAGTTTTCCAATGGATTCTTTAGGGTTTTCTATGTATAAAATCATGTCATTTGCAAATAGTGAGAGTTTCACTTCTTCGTTGCCTATTTGGATTCTTTTTATTCCTTTTTCTTGCCTAATTGCTCTGGCCAAAACCTCCAGTACTATCTTGAGTAAGAATGGTGAGAGTGGGCAGACTTGTCTTGTTCCTGTTCTAAGAGAAATGCCTTTCAGTCTTTCCCCACTGAGTATGATGTTGGCTGTGGGTTTGTCATAAATAGCCTTTATTATGTTGAGGTACTTCCCTTCTATACCCATTTTCTTGAGAGTTTTTATCATAAATCGATGTTGGATCTTGTCAATTCCTTCTCTGCATCTATTGAGATGACCATGTGGTTTTTATTCTTTGTTTTGTTGATGTGGTGTATCACATTGATTGATTTGTGGATGTTGAACCATCCCTGTGTCCCTGGTATGAGTCCCACTTGATCATGGTGTATGATTTTTTTAATGTATTGCTGTATTTGGTTTGCCAATATTTTGTTGAGGATTTTTGCATCTATGTTCATCAGCGATATTGGCCTGTAATTTTCCTTCTTTGTATTGTCTTTGCCTGGCTTTCGTATCAGGGTGATGTTGGCCTCATAGAATGATTTAGGAAGTGTTCCATCTTCCTCTATTTTTTGGAATAGTTTGAGAAAGATGGGTATTAAATCTTCTTTGAATGTTTGGTAAAATTCACCGGAGAAGCCATCTGGTCCTGGACTCTTATTTTTTGGGAGGTTTTTTGATTACTATTTCAATCTCTTTACTTGTGATTGGTCTATTCAGATTCTCAATTTCTTCTTGGTTCAGTTTTGGGAGGTTGTATGAGTCTAAGAATTTATCCATTTCTTCCAGATTGTCCAATTTGTTGGCATATAGTTCATCATAATATTCTCTTATAATCCTTTGCATTTCTGTGGTACCCATTGTAATTTCTCCTCTTTCATTTCTAATTTTATTTACTTGAGCGTTTTCTCTTTTTACCTTAGTAAGTCTGGCTAAGAGTTTTCCAATTTTGTTTATCTTCTCAAAGAACAATCTCTTTGTTTCATTAATCCTTTCTACTGCTTTATTTAGTCTCAATTTCATTTATTTCTGCTCTAATTTTTATTTTTCTCTCTTTCTGCTGCCTTTGGGCTTTGTTTTTTCTTCTCTTTTCAGCTCTAATATGTGTAATTTAAGGTTGTTTATTTGGGCTTTTTCTTCTTTGTTAAGGTGGGCGTGTATTGCTATATGTTTCCCTCTCAGGACCGCTTTTGCTGCATCCCATATGAGTTAGTATGGCATATTTTCATTTTTGCTTGTTTCAGGATATTTTTTTATTTCTCCTTTAATTTCCTCAATGATCCATTCGTTGTTCAACAGCATGTTGTATAATCTCCACACCTTTGTCACTTTCCCAGTTTTTTTTCTTGTAGTTGATTTCCAGTTCCATAGCATTATGGTCAGAAAAGATGCTTGTTATGATTTCAATCTTCTTAAATTTATTGAGGCTTGCCTTGCTTCCCAACATATGATCCATACTTGAGAACGTTCCATGCGCGCTTGAGAAGAATGTGTAGTCAGCTGTATTTGGATGGAGTGCTCTGTATATGTCTACTAGATCCATCTCCTCCAGTTTTTCATCTAAGTCCACTGTTTCTTTATTGACTTTTTGTCTGGATGATCTATCCATTGATGTAAGTGGGGTATTAAGATCCCCTACTATTATTGTGTTGTTGATAATATCTCCTTTTAGGTTTGTTAATAGATGCTTTATGTATTTTGGTGCTCCTATGTTGGGGGCATATATATTTATAATTGATATGTCTTGGTGGAGTGTCCCTTTTATCGCTATATATTGCCCCTCTTTGTCTCTCTTAACCTGTTCTATCTTGAAGTCTACTTTGTCTGATCTAAGTATCACAACACCTGCTTTCTTTGGTTTGCCATTAGCTTGGAGTATTGTCTTCCATCCTTTCACTCTGAGCCTGTGCTTGTCTTTAAAGCTGAGATGTGTTTCCTGGAGGCAGCATATTGTTGGGTCCTGCTTTTTAATCCATTCTGCCACTCTGTATCTTTTGATTGGAGTGTTCAATCCATTTACTTTTAGAGTAATTATTGATATATGAGGGCTTAAGGTTGCTGTTTTATCTCTTATTTTCCGGTTCTTTTGCATTTCCTTTGTTTCTTGTCCTGGATGTTTTGGACTGGCAAATGGGTTTGGTTGTTCTGTCTTATGACTCTTTTAGTTTTCTCTTTATTTATCATATGTGATTTTCTTCTGATTATTTGTTTAGTGGTTACCTTGAGGTTTGTATAAAAACTCTTGTGTATGAGATAGTCCATTCTCTTATTTCCTTATACTAAATCAATTGAATCTCTTTCCTCTTCTTCTTTTAAGTTATTCTTGTCACAGCTTATTCTATCTTGTGTTGTGGGTGTGTGTTTATAGTGATGAGGTTATATTTATTTTTGGTGTTTTCTTTCCTTTGATCTTTGATTTTGTGTATTTAAGTGGTTGCTAACATATTCCAGTAAAGATCTACTATTTTTCTGATTTTGCCTACCTATTTTTCTCCTTGCTCCAAGCTTTTTATTCCCTTTCTCTTCTCTTTTCAGGCCTGAGGGCCTTTTGAGATTTTCTTGTAGTGGGGGTCTCATGGCCATGAACTCCCTTAGCTTTTGTTTATCTGAGAAAGTTATTATTTCTCCAGCATATTCAAAGGATATTTTCGCTGGATAGAGTATTCTTGGCTGAAAGTTTTTGTTTTTCAGTATTTTGAATATATCATTCCAGTCTCTCCTAGCCTGTAAAGTTTCTGTTGAGAAATCTGCTGAGAGCCTGAAGGGGGTTCCTTTGTACCTTATTTTTTGTTTTTGTCTAGCTGCCCTTAGTATTGTTTCTTTGTCATTGACTTTTGCCAGCTTTACTACTATATGCTGTGGAGTGGGCCTTTCCCTGTTGATATATTTAGGTGATATTGGCTTCACTTACTGGTATTTACTGCTCCTTCCCAAGATTTGGGAAGTTCTCAGCTCTTCTTTCCTTGAATAGGCTCTCTGTTCCTCTTTCCCTCTCTTCTCCCTCAGGAATACCTATAATTCTTTTTTTTTTTTATAATTTTATTTATTTCTTTCTTTTTCCCCAAAGCCCCAGTAGCTAGTTGTATGTCGTAGTTGCACATCCTTCTAGTTGCTGTATGTGGGACGTGGCCTCAGCATGGCTGGAGAAGCCTTGCATCGGTGCACGCCAGGGATCTGAACCCAGGCCGCCAGTAGCGGAGCCCATGCACTTAACCACTAAGCCACAGGGCCAACCCAGGAATACCTATAATTCTTATGTTACTTTTCCTAATTGAGTCAGATATTTCTCGGAAACTTTCTTCATTTCTTTTTAGTCTTAGTTCTCTCTCCTCCTCCATCTGGAGCATATCTGTTTTCCTATCCTCTATAATGCTAATTCTTTCCTCCATATTGTCAGCTCTGTTCTTTAAAGATTCCAGATTTTACTTTGTGTCCTCCATTGTATTCTTCATCTCCATCAATACTGATTTATTTTTCTTTATGATTTCAATCTCTTTTGTGAAGAAACTCCTTATCTCATTGAATTCTTTATCTGTGTTTTCTTGTATTTCATTGAGCTTTTTTTATGATAGCTATTTTGAATTCTCTGTTGTTTAGATTATAGATTTCTGTGTCTTCTGGGTTGATTCCTGGGTGCTCGTCATTTTCCTTCTGGTCTGGCAATTTAATGTACTTTTGCCTTCTAATTCCTGTATTCACTGTTTTTCCTCATGCTGGAAATATCTGGTTGCAGTTTCTACCTGCCGCCACCATGTGGGGGTCAAGGGCTGTGGAATCTGAGCCCCCTGCACTCCAGGGTGGCTGCCTGCACTCCAGGGTGGCTGCCTGCCCTCCACGGCAGCTGCTCTGACTGGTCCGCTGAGCAGCTGTGTTGGGCATGCGGTGGGGAGGGGCTCTCTCTTTTGCCTGCTGGGTCTCTGGAGTGGGGGTTGCTTCTCACTAGCCCCTCATTATCCACTCTCCTGCAGTACTCAGACATTGCTGGCACTCCTGCAGCAGTTCTGAGTCCTCTGTGTGGGAGTTTCCCACAGGCTGAGAGAGCCCAAAGAGCCATGGTTTTGCCATAGAGGGCCACCCTTCCCCCCTTCCTGGGAGCCACGTGGACTGAGTGGCGGATCTGATGGGGAGGGAGAGGATTTCTCCTTACCTCTCTGCACTTGCTCCTGGGGCCCCAGCACGTCCACTCTCAGATGTGCAGCAGTGTGGGTCTTCCAATGTCACTTTTTGCTGTGTGAGACTTCCTTGTTGGTCTGTGACTGTCCCTTTTGTTGTATCTTATGGGGGGAAGAGTTTATGGGAAAGCTCACTCCACCATGATGCTGATGTTGCTATCAGCACATAGTTAGTTTTTATAACAACACTATTATGTTAGCCTTTCTCACTTCTCTGCTGTGTGAGCTCTTTAAATGCAAGAGCCAGGTGTTCTGAATTGTCGTGTACACTCTCATCCTTAATTCTTTTCAAAGTCCCCGGCACATAGTAGGTTCTCAGATCATGTTAGTCAAATGATTGATGACTTCTTGGAGGAGGTGGCTTTTAGACTGGGATTTGGAGGATGGGTGAGATTTTGGGATGCAGAGGAATCAGGAGGAGGCAGAGGGAAGGCATATTAGGAAGACACACCACTGGGAGCATGTGTGCTTCTTGAGATGATCATTCACACATGACAGAAGTTTAACTAACCACATAAGAGGTAACTACTTCAAAGCTGAAGTACAAGGGCTGTGGCATGAAGAGTATTTTGAGCTGGATGAGGGGTCCAGGCATGAGGATGATGGGAGTGTTGGAGATAAAATGGCACCCTTAGTCTTGGCTGTTCCCATGACGATGTTCCCAGCATGAAGAGCCGTGGGAGCAGGAGGCACTGAGGATGGTGGGACAGGCAGGGCCAATGAGGATGCCTTGAATGGGGTCATGGCCTGCACCCCAGCTGGGAGAGTTGGGGATGAGGGCAACTGCCTACTCCAACTTTGCTGGGGACTGGTGGGCTTTGGGTAACAGCTGCCTTGAGTCATCAGTAAGAGGTGAATGACCAAAGCAGACAACATCATGATGTCCCTCCCAACTCTGCTGTCTGTATCCAGTATTGTTGCTTCCTGCCTGTCCAGGTGATGGTGTGGATTCACGGAGGTGGTCTGATGTTAGGTGGGGCATCAAGCTATGATGGGCTGGCCCTCTCTGCCCATGAAAATGTGGTGGTGGTGACCATTCAGTACCGCCTGGGCATCTGGGGATTCTTCAGGTAAGATACTGGACACTCCTCACTGCACATTGACCCCCAAAGCAAGGATGCTAGGACCCCACTCTTGTCATGTCAGCCCTCAAGGGGATCTTTGCTAAATTCCCTAATAAGTCACCCAAATCCTTTCATAACTGGGCTCCAGCTACTTTCTCATTCCCAGCCACCCTGGTCCACTTGTTTCTGAGCTTTCGCATTTGCTATTTCCTCTGCCTGGAATGCCTATTCTACCAGACAAACTCCTATTCATATTGCAAGGTTGAACTGAAATGTTACCTTCTCTGAAATATTTAACTCCTTTCACCTGTGCTGCCCCAGCATATTGCAACCTCTAAAATGGGAGCATGCAGTACAGCATTCAGAGGCTTACACATTTTACCTCGTAGGAAAGTAAGGAAGGAGCAAGCTCATGGTGGGAGCTCAGTGAATGCTTGTGTGTGAAGGTATGGGTGGCTGGAGCTGGGAGGTTGTGGCAGCATCTGAATCCAGTGGGAAACCTCCCAGGAGGAATGTTGGATCCACTCATCTAATTTCCTTCTGCATTTGGCACATGCATGAGTCAAGGCTAGAGTTTTCTCCATTGAGTCTCCATGGAAACCACATTTCCTGCAGGACACAGTTCCTGGGAGCCTTTTCTGAATGCACCAGCCCCAGGACCTCTGACTCTGAGATGGCTGATGGGCGGGCTGGGGGAAGGGTGGGCTCCTCACTGCAAAGACCTATGGAGCTGGAGAAGGGTTATCCCAGGTGAGTCATGTCCCAGGATGTATTGCCTTCATTGAAACTCCTCGTCTCTTTCACCCACGGCCCATTTCTCTGCTCCCCATTACAGTAAAACAGCTGCATTTGCTCTTCCTGCTCCTCTCCTCCCTGTCTCTCCTCAAACCTACATCAATCAGGTTTTCACTCCGATCACGCCACTAGACTGTTCTGCTCAAGGTCACCAGTGACCCACCAGCTCTTGGCCAACATTGGCAGACACCCACACACCATCTTGGCAGCATCCACTCAAGATTGCTCACACATTTTTAAAATGCTTTCTTCCCTCGGCTCCTGACCATCTCCTACCTCATGGATTGCTCTTTCTAGGCCCCTTCACTGGACCCTCCTCCTCCCTGTACTCAGTCCTCTGTGTGCATCTCCTTCTCCATCTCCACTGCCACCCTGAGTGACCTCAAGGGGCACTTTCACAGCTCCCTATTTTTAGCCTCAACTTCTCCTTTGAAACCCAGATGCACATCATTAACTACGTTCTTCTACCTCCTGCTGTCACCCCTGGACGTCTAAAGGGCACCTCACACTTCACAGGGACAGACTAAACCCTGGACTCCAACTACTGCTCCCCAAAAACACTCTACTTTCCCCACAGGGCCTCCTGCTCATCTGCTGGCAGCTCCATCCTTCTGGGTGATCAGGGTAAAGGTCTTGTGGTCAGCCTTGATTCTTCTCTTTTTCTCACACACCAAATCCAGTCGACCAGAGAATCTGCTTGCCTTCACCTTTAAATTATATTCATAATCCACCCACTTCTCACCTCCTCCTTTACACCCACCCTAATCAAAGCCCTTTTTTTCTCTCACCTGGATTATTGTAACAACCTCCTACTTCTATAACCCTGCTATTTTACACTCTGTCTGATCTGTACAGTAACAAGAGTGATCATTTAAGACATAAATGGTGTCATGTCCTTCCCTAAGTGACTTTCCTCCTTACTTACAATGACATTGACGTCCTTACCAAGGCCCACAGGGCCCTCTCTAGCTGCATGTGCTACACTCACACTTTGTGCACCGGACTCCAGGGCCTTTGCACTTTCTCTTTCTTCCACCTGGAATTCCCTTTTTTGGATATTTGCAAGGCTCTGTGCTCCTTCATTCAGGTCTCTACTCAAATGCCACAGCCTCTAAGAGGCCTTCCCTGGTCATGTGATCTGAAATAGGACCCCACTGCCCCACCTTTGCCTTTGCCCTTACCCAGTTGTATTTTTCCTGAAAGCACATTCACTACCTGACATTATATTCTATACTTATCTGTTTATTTGTTTATGATCTGTAGAGTGAGTTCTGTGTACTCAGAGATTTGCCTGTTTTGTTCTCAGGTGGGATCCTGGCTCTTAGAACAGTGTGTATACATGATAGATGCTCAATAGATAGATGGGGATGAAGGACTGTAGAGCCGACAACAGAACATGCTGCAGGAGAGGAAGGCAGGTGAAGACCCCTGTGTCAGGGCTGTGGAAGACCCATCTTATTCCAGAAGGCTCACCAGACCCCCTTCTACGGTCCTGAGAGCCCTGCCATGATGTCTCTGCTCTCACTCCACCCTGTTCTCTTACTCTCAGCACAGGGGACGAGCACAGCCGGGGAAACTGGGGTCACTTGGACCAGGTGGCTGCACTGCGCTGGGTCCAGGAGAACATTGCCGACTTTGGAGGGGACCCAGGCTCCGTGACCATCTTTGGAGAGTCAGCCGGAGGGGAAAGTGTCTCTGTTCTTGTAAGTGTTCCTGGTCCTGATGTGGAGACCAACCAATCTAGTCACAGGCACTCTTACTCACAAGACCCGATTCAAGACTGACTCCACTCTGCATAGCATCACATGGTGGAGAGTTAATGGCCAAACACTCCTTGGCCCCCAGGAAGCTCAAACCTCAGGTTAGCATCCTGGGGCTATAATAATATGCAGCAGCAGCTGCAACATTGGCATTCCCTCTCTTCTCAATGAGTTGAGCTCTCGCTCCCCTTCCTAATCATTTTGACATTAGGACTCACCTCATTCTGTTGGGAAGTAGTGGTCGGAATAAGTTATGAATAAGAGGAGGAAACCATGAGACTTGGGCAGAGTGTCATGGTTTGTCTTAAAGCTAGATCTACATATCAGGAGGACATGAGAACTAAAACAGGTCAGGAGCCTCCTCTGAGGTGGTCTGATGTCCCGTCCATGCCCAAGAAAGAAGGTTGCCATCTCTGTGACTAAGGGATGGAGCTGGGTTGAGGGAAGTTGGGTAGGAAGGAGGAGGGGTCAGAAGGTGGGATGGGGAGGGATGGGACAGGGGAATGGGACACAGACATGGCCTGGAAACCTGCTGTGGGGAATGGGGCTGAGGGAAACACTGAGAGAATCAAAGATGGAAAACCAACTTAGAAGGTGCTGGGAGCTGTAAGGAACCCTCCAGCTGCCTCAGAACTGAGCAGAGGGTCAGCACTATTACTGTATTTTTAATACATGTATTTGTTTCATAGCTGAATACTCAAAGGAAAATGTTTTTATATTTTATACAGTGGAGGAAAACGTAAAGTACAGATAACACCAGTGAAAAGTCATCCATAATCCCGTTATCCAGGGATAGTCACCATGGACATTCTGATATGTATTTTTCTAGATGTTTTTCCATGACTGATCCTATCTATCTACCTATCTATCATCTATATCATAATCTATGATTTTTTTAAACAAAAAACCTTCCTTAACATTATAATATAACATAAATATTTCCCTAGCCATTAATTACTCTTTCTTAATTTTATTTTTTAAAGCCACCTGGTTCTCCATGTAAAAATGAATAATAGCTTATTTAACCAATACCATAGTATTGCAACCTTTGGCTATTTACAATTTTAACTATTTGAACAGATGAGCATTCTTAGAAAACGTGTGCCTCCATGATCGTTTTTCTTAGGATGTATTCTGAGTAATGGAAATGCAGAATCAGAACCATGTCTTGAAAGTGTTGCTAGGAACTTCTAAGAGTCTTTCAGAAACTTTTGATTGTTATAACCAGCTCGTGCCACACACTTCCTGTCTGTCGCTCACTCTGTGCTCCTGTCTCCCTCCAACTAAGAGAAGTTTTCTTGGAGAAGCTGAGTCCCAGGTCAGCCTGGGGAACAGGCCAGGCCAGGCAAGGACCCATCATGTCCACTGAGCCCCAGGGTCTCCAGGGGAATGGTCCAGGGCAGAGCTGTGGATGGGGGTAGCTCTTGAAGACCCCTCCCCATGAGTATAAACTCCCTTCCTCTGCCTCCCCTCCCAGGTGTTATCTCCACTGGCTAAGAACCTCTTCCACCGGGCCATCTCTGAGAGTGGTGTGGCCTTCAAAGCTGTCGTGGACAATGACTACACGAAGGCTGTTGCTCAGGTAGGTGTCACACTGGACCACCCCTGCACCCTTTGGTCTGCTCTCCTGGAGTCTTCAGGGGCCTTCCTTGCTGTGGGATCCAGCTGACATGCTCAAAGGATCACAGAAGTGAGAATGACTGAGTGGGAAGGGCAAGGAGACCCCTCACCTAACCTCCCAGGTATCCAGCTGAGCAAACTGGGCCGAGAGTGGAAGCAGCTTGTGAAGGTCAGAGAGTGATCAGGGCAGAGCTGGGACTCAAGGTCATGATACTGGATTGTCAGCACAGGGCACTGTCCACTGACCACACTTCCCAACATGTGCCAAGGTGGGGGCTGAGCAAGACAGTGGGCAGTGGAGTGTCTTGTCTGTCTCAGGGTCTCAGTTCTGGTGAACCCACTTGCAGTGTGTGAGCCTGGAGTGGTCCCTCCCTGAGGACCTTGTGACTGGGGGTGATTCCTGGAGAATTCATTCAGTGATTCAGTCATTCATTCAACAAATAATTTTGGTAGAACCAGACGTCTAGCAACCTCATGAAGCTTCCATCCTAATGGAAGAGACAGATTAATTTCATAATCACACAAATTACAAAATGTCAACTGCAACAAGAGCAATAAAGCAGAGGTACCTGACGTCATAACAGAATCCAAAAGGAGCGATAATTCCAGTGAGTAGGGGGAGGTTATCAGGAAAGTCTTCCTGGAAAGAATGGTCAATGAGTTGAGATCAGAATGATGAGCAGTAATTTATTTGATGAGAAAAGAACATTCCAGTAAGAGGGAACAACATGTGCAAATGTTCTGTGGCAAGAGGAAGTACAGAGTAAGTGAGAACAAGAAAGGGAGAAATGGCCAGAGCAGAAGGAACAGAGGGAACTGCAGTGAGCTGAGGACGGGGACACTGCAGGGGCCATGCTGCACGACCCTGTGAGGACTTTGTCTTTATCTGGAGACTGTTAGGAAGCCAAGGAAGAGTGATCAACAGGCGGCTCTGCTGAGGAGCACCCACTGGAATCAGTGATGTGGAACGTTTTGGTCGGGTTGTGAGAGCAGTTTTCCTGAAGTGGTGGGGGCAGCAGCCAGACGGAGAGGGGCTGGTAAGTAGGAGGAGAGGAAAGGAAGACACCAGGAATTTTTATAATTTTGGAGACTGTTCTTCTGAATTTTTGGTTATAAACAACAGAAGCCCAGTTGACCAGGCTTAAGTGGAGAAGGAGGAATTTATTTAAAGGAAACAGGCGAGAGAGATGTGGCTGGATTTTTCTATCAAGCAAGAACCAGAAATAGGGAAAATGAAGGGAATCTAAGACTCTTATTATTCTTCCTTCTCTCTCTCTCTCATCTTCTCATACTTTCCCTCTTTCTCTCTCTCTCTCCTCTGCTTTTCTCTGTGCCTTTTTATTTATTCAGCAAATACATACTGAGCACTGATTCTGTGTCAGACATTGTACTAGGCTCTAGAGAGCCCTACACACTCTCCATGGCCCCGCCATCATGTACCCTGCCTTCTGTCCATCTGCATCTTCTCCTCTGGTCACTTTATAAGTGACTTGCCAGAGGCCAAATGACTGCTAAGTGGATGAGCTGAGATTTGAAACCAGACACTGTGATTACGGACTCCATGCTCTTAAGCCCCACTCCATGCTGCCTCTCCTTAGATCTTCAGCTCTGAGATCCTTATGCCCATTTTAACAGAGATAAGAGACAGAGACTGTGTAATTGGTATGATAGGACCAGGACCCACACCTGCTGGTCTAGAGTATTTTCTGCCACCCCCTCTGCTGCTGTTAGAAATTGAGGTTGGGATGGAAGACCTCTTTATTGACCGAGGGAAGGGACATGTCTCTTGAATTTTGTTGTCACCTGTGATCTCTGCAGCAATTTGCGGACTTTTCTGGGTGTAACACCACTGTCTCGGCTGTCATTGTTCACTGCCTGCGCAAGAAGACAGAGGAGGAGCTCCTGGAGACGTCACGGAAGATGGTAGGTGCATCCATTCTCATGGCCTCACAAGCCTCCCCACTGTAAACTTGGCCCAGACTTCACCGTTTCAGCTGTCCGCTTGCCCCAGAAAAACTGCCTGGGACAGTGTCTGTCCTCGGGAATAATGTCAGCCTCTGGATCTTCATAAGAATTTTCTTTTTTTGTTGTGAAATATCTCAAACATTAGCAAAGTCAAAAAATAACACAATGGACTATTGTGTAATAATCTTCCAGCTCTATTAAAACTTACTATTTTTCCATTCTTGTTTTCAGATATGTGCGCACTTTAATTCAGGTAACATTGGTTTGTAACATTATAGAAATTTCAGGTGTACGTCATCATATTTTGACTTCTGTATAGACTACATCCTGTTTACCTCCAAAAGTCTAGCTTCTGTCTGTTACTATCCAATTCTCTCCCTTTACCCTTTTTACCCTCCCCCCACACCCCTTCTCATATGGTAACCATCAATCCGTTCTCTGTATCTACGTGCTTGCTATTTTTCTTAATCTTCCACATGTGAGTGAAGTCATATGATATTTGTCTTTCTCCATTCAACTTATTTCACTCAGCATGATACCCTCAAGATCAATCCACATTGGTGCAAATGGCAAGATTTCATCTTTTTTATGGCTGAGTCATATTCTGTTGTATATATATAACACATCTTCTTAATCCATTCATCTGTTGATGGGCACTTATGTTGTTTCCAAGTATTCGTTATTATAAACAATGTTGCATTGAACATAGGGGTGAATATATCTTTTCAAATTAATATTTTTCTATTCTTTGGCTAAATACCCAGAAGTGGAGTACCTGGATCATATGGTAGTTCTATTTTTAATTTTTTAAGGAATATCCATACTGTTTTCCGTAGTGGCTACATCAATAGACATTCCCACTAGCAGTGTATGAGGGATCCTTTTTCTCCACAATCTCTCCAACACTTGTTATATCTTGTCTTTGTAATAATAGCTATTCTGACAGGCATGAGGTGATAGCTCATCGTGGTTTTGATTTGCATTTCCCTAATAATTAGTGATGTTGAAATCAGATATATTTTTAAGAAATCAAACATTACATATTCCCAGAGGTAACTACCATCATGAATTTTGGGGATGGGGATATTAAGAACAAAGTTTTTCAGAAAGGCCATCACAATTTATATTGGTTAATTTAGAAGCTACCTCCATTATAACCCAATTGTGGCCCAATTTTCTAAATTTTCTGAGACTCTGCCTTAATTATGACTCTCGAATATCTGTACATCCATCCATTAATCTATCCAACCAACCATCCATCCATTCATCCATCCATCCACTCACCATCTTGTTATACATCTATCCATCCAACAGTCTATCCAATTCATCTACATCCTTTCATCAGTCTAGGATCAATCCATCCATGACTTGATGACTTTCATTCACCTTATCAATCATCCATGCATCATCAGCCACTATATTTCTTCACCTCATCATTCCTCCTTCTAAAATCAATGATCCATCCATCACCTATCTGTAGTTATCATCCATCTATCCACTTATACATCCAATTCACTCATATTTCGTGTATTGACCTACTAATCCATCCATCCATCCATCCATCCATCCATCCATCCATCCATCCATCTATCCCTGCTAGGTGTATGGGGGGGGGGCGGTGGTAACAGGGAGGATGATGCAGACTTGAATCAAATATAGTCTCTGCTCACAAGAAATTATTCAGGAGAAACACACCATATACTTTGTGGCTTAAGTGTAGTGGGAGTATAGAGAGGGGAAACATTCAATATAGTCAACAGGGATGTCTCACAGAAAAGGTGAAATTGAGGATTGATGGATGGCTATGGCAGCAGGTCATCACAAGGACAGACGCCCAGAGAATACAGCATCTAGAACCAACAGGAACTATTCTTTTTTGTGGAGGTAATGTGTGAATGTGAGCCCCAGAGTAGCCTGAGCCCCTGGACTCTCTGTCTGGACTCTGGGCTCCTGAGGATACTCCTGGACCCCCAAGGATAGGTCTCTAGCATTGAATTCAGCTCTATTTTCATGGAATGACTCTACTGTTGCCTTGGGGCTTGGATCCTGGTTTCTCTAGCTGAAATAAGTTGAACAAAGTCTTCAAAGAATAAAAACACAACTGTTTTCTGATGTCTAGAACAAGGCAAATTTATTTTAGCAATTCTCCATGTGACTTGCGAATCCAACTTATAAGGGGAGGGTGGTAACTTTGGGAAAACCCAGAGAACATAAGAGCCCATGTTATCCTTCTGAGATTTTTTGAAATCACGTGGAAGTGTTTCCATGATTATCTACTCTCCTTAATAGACACACACACACACACACACACACTCACACACACATGACTGGCAGGGCTACAAACACATAATGGATGGAGACTTACTGGTCACTTGCTGTATACTGATCAGACCCATTAGCTGTAATGTAACATTGCAATCAGCGTAATCTTGGTGAACATGCAACATAGAGAAGTGTAGCGTAGGGTGAATTTCCATGAGCTTCTATGAGTCAGGACTTTCTAATACAAGATGAGAAATATCATCTCAAAGTGCCTAGAGCAGAAAAATAAATGTATTGTAACAGAATCTTCAGGTAACTAACTGAAAACTAAACTATGATTCAGGAGTAGATGGCTTCAGGCATGGCTGGATCCAGATCCACATCTGATATTATTACGAATCTATCTGTCTCTGTCCCTCAGCTTTTTCTTTCTCAGTGTTGGCTTCAGTATTAGGCAGGTTTGTCTCCTGGGGAGGTTAAAAAAAAACAATAGCACTCGAGACTTATATGCTAGCTGCTTAGAAACCGTCCTTCCCAATAATTCCAGCTAAAGTTTGGGGTAAAATGTATTGGACTGACATGGGCTGTGTCCATCCCTAAACTAATCTCTGTAGTTAGGGAAACATGTCACATACAGTTGCCTGGATTCATGGAGTAAGGGTGGGGAAGAGAGAGGTCTCCCTAAAAGAAAATTAGGATGTTGTTGCCTGGAGAAAGTAGAAGGGCAAATGAATGGAGGGCAGGGCAGGCACAACCACAGACATCCTCCTCAGAGCTCCCCTCCCCATGCTACACCCACACCCTGTGCTCAGGCCCACAAGAGCCAGTGTCCAGCTTTTCTCCCAGGAAGCCTTCTCACTCACATCCTCTGCCTTTGTCTTCACAGAAATTTTTCACTCTTGAGTTTCTTGAAGACCCCAGAGAGGTAAGGACCTTTGGTTTCTTGATTATAGATTTTAAGTCTTGACATATTTAAGCTCCAGTTAATGAAGAATGAAAAAATTCTCTCTGTGGACTCATAGTAACTCCTTGTGTTTATATTGCTGAGGCCCAGAGAGGGACAGTGACTTGTCTGAGTAACATAGCCGAGAGGACCAGACATAGGTCTGGCACCCATTCTCTTGACTCCCAGTCCAGTGTTCCCTGTCATCAACTCTGTGTCCCCTGGACACAGCCTATTCTTTTCTTGTTTACATTTCCTGCTCCCAAAAATGCTCTCAAGGGAGAAGGCTTGACTGGAAACTTCCACTATGGGGAGGTGGAGATAACTGGATGAGGGGTTTCTTCAGGAGCCTTCAGTGAGGGGCCCAGATCTTCCCCTGGAGGCTGCAGGCTTGATTATCTGTACAAGCTGCACTGTGTGCAGGGCCGTCAGGAAGGGAGCCCAGAGTCTCAGTCCTGAGGACACCTCCCTCCTCCCAGCCACGCAGGAAACTCCAGCAGTATCCTCCCATGTCCTTCCTCCTCCCCTCCTACCTTCAAAGGCATTGCCAGGTTCCCATAAGTTTACCTCTGCAAAGTCCTACAATTCTGTCCTCTCTGCTCTCTCCCTGGTGACAGTAGCACCTACCTTAAAAGGTGTTGTGAGGATTAAATGAGATTCATTCAGTCACTCAGCAAAGATTTAATTAACACTTACTGAGTGCCAGGACCTGATTCAGGAGCTGGGGGTATAGCAGGGAAACAGATGAAATCCACGCTGGTCGGCCACACTGGCCTTGTGCTCAGACAGGTGGAGATGGGGAGGCAGGTGTTCCCTCAAGAGGTGAAGCACAGACACTATGCTCCCTGTTCCCCAGAGCCATCCCTTTCTGGCCACTGTGGTTGATGGAGTGGTGCTGCCAAAGATGCCTGAAGAGATTCTGGCTGAAAAGAAATTCAACACTGTTCCCTACATTGTCGGAATCAACAAGCAAGAGTTTGGCTGGCTTCTTCCAATGGTGAGCGTGTCAGGGCCTCTTAGACTCACCCCTCTGCCCATCACATCACCCCTCCCATCTTGGATCATAGGAGCTCCTCCTTCTTCAGACACCCCTCAGGGTCCAGGGCTGCTGTCACCTTTACACAAGTTGACATTTCCATGGATGTCTCTGGAAATGTCAAATTGTGTGGGATGGACCAACTATCACCTGGGTATGCAGCCACAGAGATCCCTCTCCCCAAACACTATCTGACTGTTCTCCATTCAAGAATCCTGAAATGTCGATGCTGAGGGGCCTGTAGAGATAATCTCTGGACAGATGAGAAAACTGAGGCCTGTAAAGGGGAAGGAGCTTGGGGATTAAGGAGAGTGAGCCCTGGGGCCCTGCAGCCTCTCCTGTTGGGCTTGGTGCTTTCATAGTTTCTCCATAAATCCCACACATGCTCCTAGTCATTTAACTGGAAAGATTCAGAGGAGCTTGCTTCCTCTTGAGTTAAAATTGACTGCAAAAAGACAGGAAGGGATTTCCCTTTCTGCCAAATATAGACAAAGCCGGCACAAGTTGAAGTGGTGAGGACGGGTTTTATTCAGTCATACCACTGCATTAGGGAAGAGTCCAGCATGAACTGAACTCTAGTCCCTGAAACTAAAGGCTGGAGCCCATTTAAAGGCTGGGTGTGATCAGGGAAAGGCTGCGGGGTGGGAAGGGGGTTTGTCCATGTGACTAGGCCACTTGGATTAGTGAATTGGCACCTATCCAGAGGAGAACTAAACTCTCCTGTCTTTATGACAGGAGGCAGTGGGTAGGTGGGAGCAAGATGTCCACTGAAGTCAGGTCTTTATCCTCCCACAGGGACTGAGAGAGAGCAAGTCATTCCCTGAATGTTTGCATTCCAAAGAGATGGCTCTCAGGTCCTTGAGGAAACACTATAGGATGGTAGATTTGTATCTCAAATGGCAGAGGAAGGATTTGTAATTACAAGATTTCTAAAGAAACTGCTCTAAGGGATGTTCAGGGACTTATCTACCTATCACCAGGTTTTGGCTGGAACAAACAGTAAATTCTCCTGGCAGCAGGGAGTTTTCTCATGCAGGCATTTTAAAGGAAGCTGGGATCATCCTAGGGACAGGGCCTTAAGCTGCTAGAAACCTTACTAGAGTTTGGTCGAGTCCCTTAGTGCAGAGATTTGGATGGAGCTGTTATGTGCAGAGTTCTGCAGTTCTCAGTTCAGAACAATTTCAGAGGTTATACTGAAGGACCAAAGCCATAGGGCAGGATTTGGGACTTCCTTAGTCAGCTGAGACAGGGAGGATATTTCTGAGGTCTCTGTGCTCTGCCCAGAGCCCTCCACTTCAACACTAGCCTGGCTTAAACTCTCCCTCTCTGTCTCAGTGACCATTGTGGGGACTCTAGCCTGCCATATATACACATACAGACTGCAAAGGACTGCGGCAGCTTCTCTTAACACTTACTTTATCCTCTTTGCAATCCTTGAGTTTCTGGATGTGTGTCCATTTGATTCATTGATTCAGCCCAATTCACCAAAGACCCATGCCTGTCAAGACATGACAAGGCGACCTTCAGCCTGCATTGGGTTGATCAGTTGGTCAGTTTGAGTCTTTCTGCTAATTTCCAATGATTCACAATTGCTTAACCATTGTTTTAACAGATGATAGGCCTCCCACTCTCTGAAGGCAAGCTGGACCAGAAGACGGCCACGTCACTCTTGTGGAAGTCCTACCCCATCGTTGTAAGAGTCTGGGGAATCACAGGAACTGGCTGAGACCTAGAGAAGGAGGAGCTTGCCCCAAATCACAGAGCAATTAAACTGCAGAAAGAAGACTGGGACCAGAGGGTTATGCCCCCTTTTTTCTGTTTTTTTCACCTCACCAAGGAGTAAGGCATGGCTGCACAGGGCTTGAGAGCTTCACCATTAACACAAGAACAGAAGCTGTGTCACTCACCAGAGGGTGGTGGTCACTTTCACTCATGATCCATTTCAGGAAATCCCTGAGGAACTGACTCCAATGGCCATTGAGAAGTATTTAGGAGGGACAGACGACCCTGTCAAAAAGAAAGACCTGTTCCTGGACTTGTTGGGAGATGTGATGTTTGGTGTCCCATCTGTGACTGTGGCCCGTTTCCACAGAGGTGAGTCCTAGAGGTTGGACGAGAAAGGGACGCTGACCCCACCAGCTTCACTGTCTGTCCTGTCCACCACTCAGCATCGACAGATATGTGGAAACTGCCAAGGGTCAGGCTTCTGAGGTCAATTTCATATCGCGTAATGTGGGACACTGTCTTTTTTTTGGTTTCTGCCAGAAGCTGACTTTGGGAAAAGGATGTGAATGCAGGTAGATGCATTCTGGGAGGGGATCCCAGAAAACACCAGTAGGGGAGTGGAGAAGTGACATAGGAAGGAGAGGGAAGCCAATCCATGCTGCCCTGTCAGGCTAGTATCCACCATGGACACTGGAGCAGGGGAGCTCTGGAAAACCAGCAGAAGACAGTCTCAGGGTTATCCTGAGTGAGCAATATGGGAGCTAAAGTATTTATCTTCCAACTCCACGAGTCATTTCTCTGGTTCTTTGACCTGCTGCACACATGGGCATAGTGGTCTCTGGTGGCAAATGACCTCAGAGAAAGAGCTACAGATGCCGGAGGAGGAAGTCAGGCTGGCATGTCCAGAAGTATGTACATGGTGAGGCAACAATAGCATCTGCTACAGGGACTCCTCACATGAAAATTTTGTGGTCTGTGAGGCTAGAGAGCACATCTTAGAATATGCGTCTTGGGAGGTTTCCAGGGTTGGAGCTAGTTTGAAACTAATTTGTTACCTGGTGGAGCTGGACTACCGTGAAGTCAAGCATAGGATCAGATGAGTTGTCAGGGACCAAAAGAGACAAAAGCGGTGAGCAGTGGGAAGTGAGAAGACAGGTGGGCTGGTGAATCTCAGTATCTCCAGCTGGCTTTCATCCATACAAGTGTGTGCTGGGTCTACCACAGGGCTTTCCACATTGACCCAAGGATGTGTGGGTGGGGTGTGAAGTCAGGGTGGGTGAGCTCACCTAGAGAGGAAGTTTCTCTTCTGGGTGTCTTTTGAGGCCCTCACAGGACTCTTCCTTTTCTAGGAGCCCTCCTTCACCTAGTCTGCAAGACAGGAAATGATTATCTGGCTTAGACATCTCTCTCCAACCATGCTGGAAGAGTTTTACATTAAGGATGTTATAAGAATGATAAAAAGTATCTGCAGCTGACCTACTATGTGCCCAGGCACTCGGTACTGCACGTACAGGTGCTGGTTACCACGTCCTCCTCCCGAGGGTCCTGATGAAACTCTTCAGCCAGGGGCCACCTGGGGTCAAATCTCTTCTTTCATAAACTTGGTCTTGTCTCATACCATGTGTTTGATTTGTGGTATCCCCGTCTTCATCGTCTACTGGTCCAGCCATACTGGACTTCTGTTCTTTTTTGATATCTCATGACTTGAGTTTAGGATCTTTTGACAGGACTACACAGATTTTATCAATGTTATTCTTTCATTTTTGCATTTGTCTCACTCTCTTTTGGAAAAACAAAAGCACTTTTTTGAATATGAAATTACTGTATAATAATATATAATATCTTACAGTTGTAGAAAGTTTTGAAAATATGAGAACTCATAAAGAAACTCGTTATCACTCATAACTCCACCATCTAGAAGTGTCTGCTATAAATTTCTGATACATTTTCTTCTAATGATTTCTTCTATTATATTGTAGGCATTTCCTCAATGGCAACAAAAACTCATTGAAAACATCCATCATTTCATGGAATGATGCATTAAATTTTACTTATTCCTGTCCTATTGGATATTTAACCTCGCTGCTCATATTTTGATGCTACAAAAAACATTATGCTCCATCTGACTTGCATAAATCTTTAACCTAGTCTCTAATAATTTTCTTAGGATTGGTTTTAGAAGTGAACTTTCTAGGCTGCGACATAGGAGCATTTTAAAGTTTTTGATACAGGTTCTGAAATTGGTTTCTAGAGTATAAAGTGTGGATTTCTTAATTCTCTCACCTGGGATACTCAGATTAAAAAACAAAAATAATCCTGCCAATTTCATAAGCCCTTCCTCACCAAAAGAAAGACTATCACATTGTTTCAATTTGCATATTTTTTTTTTTTGAGCAAGATCAGCCCTGTGCTAACATCTGTTGCCAATCTTTCGGTTTTTCTTTTTTCTCCCCAAAGCCCCAGTACATAGTCCTGTATCACAGTTGTAGAGTTCTAGCTCTTCTATATGGGACACTGCCTCAGCATGGCTTGAGGAGAGGTGGGTAGGTCTGCGCCCAGGATCTGAACAGGCGAACCCCAGGCCTCTGAAGCGGAGCGTGAGAACTTAACTGGTATGCCACCTGGCTGGCCCCTCAATTTGCATATTTTTGATGACTAGATCTCTCTTTCCTTCTCCTCTTGTTCCTAATTGTTATTATCCAAATCTGTGCCCTACTTTCCTTTGAAGAATTGTGTTGCGATTGTAGGAATTTTATAAATCTCAGGGATTTAAGGCAGAACGTTAAAAAAAAAAGAAAAAGAAAAAAAGAAGAAGAATATCTTTAGGGCAGCATCCTCCTAAAAGTAAGTTCTCTCATTCACGGAAGGTCTTTCCTCTATGGCTTGTTTCTGAGTTCCTTTCTAAAACTTTTGAGTGGCAGAGACACAATTAAACCCGCTCCTTTCAGTGAGTTCTGCTTGACCTTGAAGGAGGATTAACAAGTGGATTACAGAACCACAGGGGATTGCCTATTCCAAATGACTCCTCTTGCTAAACCAAAGGTTCAATGATGGGGGTGAGGGAGGCAATTAAATAAATTATTCTACGTCCTCATGTCAGGATGGCATATATTGTTAAATCTTTTTTTTTTTTTTCTTGAGTAAGATTCGCCTTGAGGCTAATATCTGCTGCCAATCTTTCTCTTTTTTTTTTGCTTGAGGAAGATTAGCCCTTAGCTAACATTTGTGCCAATCTTCCTCTACTTTATATGTGGGATACCGTCATAGCGTGACTGGTAAGTGGAGCAGGTCTGCATTGGGGATCCGAACCCTCAAACCCGGACTCCCTAATTAGAGTGTGTGGAACTCCAACCACTCGGCCACGGGGCCAGACCCAATGTTAAATCATTATTTGGGTGAATATTTAATGATGTAAATATCTATTATAGTCATTACAAAATAAGATATATAATATTAGCCCAATTTTATACATAAATGGGATGTGGTGAAATTAGTAACTGAGGTCTCTCTGAGTGGTGGGATTATAAGTGATCTTTTCATTCATTTCTCCTTTTTCATCATTTTCCAAATTTGTTACTGTACCCAAGGGGGGAAAAAGTTGTAAAATTTTTCCACCAGCTGACGTGAGACCTGAACTTTCCCTCATTGGAGTCACTCACTGTAGGCCTCCTGATTCACACAAAGTGCTGATCTCCATGGCCGGATGGCCCGGGAGTTAGCCCTGGAGGAGCAGGGATGGCAGCTCTGGGGAAACATCAGCAGGAAAGCTGACATCTCTGGGGCTTGGAGAGGGAGGTGAGAGAGGAGGCAGGGGGAGGAGGAGAGGGGCAGGAGAGAGGCAAATTCCTCTTTCCTCAGCCCCTCTTCTCTCTTCACCACCAACTCAACACTCCTCAGGCCAAGCAGGAGGCAAGACTTGTAAGGTGACAGAGAAAAAGGAAAGGCTGATTTTGTGGTTTCCTGAGACACAAGAGACAGATTGTCTCCTTTCTGCATATTGTATGTAAATATTCATGCTTTCAGACCAGCAGCTTGGATTTTCTTCACTCTTTTCAGAAAAGAAAATGCTGGAAATACTCAAAACTGGGCAGAAGACACCTAATGGGCTGCCATTATTCTCCAAAGGAATAGAACTAGCCTGTTATCAATGGAATACAGTAGTGAAAACTGTACTTATATAGATGTTCTTGAGTGTGAGTGTATCAGTAGGCAAAGGGGTTAATGTGAATTTACCCAGTGCCCCTATAAAGATAGTTATTTTGAAGTGATTTACCCAAGTTTCAGCTTTCATTCATGTAATCTTCACTCATTCATTCAACAAACACCTGGCTCAAATCCCATTCCACCTCCACCAACTATGCGCCTTTAAACAAGTCACAAAACTTTTCTGAAAGACTATTTCTCCATTATGTTGATAACCAGAGGTTTCCGGGTTTCTGGCAGGGCCACACAGTATCCAGCACACAGTTGGCACTCACAATGGGCAGCTGTTAATAATATTGTTGTTGTTTTCGCCTCGGGATCCAGGTGTGCCCCCAATACCCTGAGTGCTCACGGCTCCTGGAGAACTTGATACCATCCAGGTGTGCGTCAGGTAAAATGAACTGTGCTTGAATCCATGTCTCCTCAGATGCCGGAGCCTCCACCTACATGTATGAGTTTGAGTATCGCCCAAGCTTCTCATCAGACATGAGACCCAAGACAGTGAAAGGGGACCACGGGGATGAGCTCTACTCAGTCTTCGGGGCCCCGTTTTTAAAAGGTGATGGCCCTTTGGTGACTACAAACTTGGGATTAGGAGATCTGGGTTCAAGTAGCTCTTTGGTGGCCTTGGACAAGTTCCTCCTTCTCTCCAGGTCTCAGTCTCTGATTTTAACTACAAAGGTTCCCAACCTTTCTCTTGCTCTAACATGCATGATGGAGAATGTGTATCCATATGCCCTCATTCATGGTCACTCTAAGAATCCAGACCTACTTCTACTCACAAGAGCATATCAGAATGTGAGCGAGAGTAAGGTTAGAGTGGGTGTTGACCTTGAATCAGGGCTAATGTGTGTCTACGTATCCAACCATCTATCTATCTAAAACTCATATCTTATTAAATTTAATATATTTAATAATATGACATTTTAAAGATACCTTTCAAAAATGTCTTCAATACCTTAAATGCCACTAACAGATGACTTGTGACCCACCTCAGGCCTGTTTGTGACACATCAGTGCTTGGGCATTTTGTGGTTGGTGAAGTCCTTAGGACATTGAAGCTCTGTTATTTTTCAGATTCTATGTATATGTGGGTGGGTGGAGGAGATTGAGGAAAGACCCAAAGGGGAGCAATGCTGGGAGGGGGCGGTTTCTGTAGTGGAAAACCTGGGGGGTGGCATTGCCACGATGAGGGCTGGGAGATTGGGCATGATGACAAAGGCAGCCAGGTTATGGATTGACTGCAGCCCTTTGCGGAGTCCTAGTTCAGTAACTCCCAAGGTTAAAGTGCAGATAAATTACCCAGGATCTTCTTAAAATGCAGAGTAAGGGCTCAGATTCTGAATTTCTAACATGCTCTCAAGAAATGCTGTTGCTACAGGTCCATAAAACACCTTGAGTAACAAAGGATTTTGTCTTCTTGCCCACAGAGGGTGCCTCAGAAGAGGAGATCGAACTCAGCAAGATGGTGATGAAATTCTGGGCCAACTTTGCTCGGAATGGGTGAGCCTTATGGCAAAGATGGAATAGGGGTGGGTAGGGTTATGGCAGATCTGTTGGGAAGAGATAGCTTCTAATGTTGTGGTCAACTCCCTGACCTGTCTCCTCTGACATGACAGTTCTCTATAAATGAACAAGCTGCCCAGGAGGTGGTGAGCTCCCTGTCTCTGGAGGCTTATGAGCCTCTTGGCAGAGATGAAGTCAGGGGTCCCTGAAAATCTCAGAGGGTTGTTGGGACCACACAGTAGCTTTGAGGAATATTTATTTGATTCTGTTCCCAGGAACCCCAATGGGGAGGGGCTGCCCCATTGGCCGGCATATGACCAGGATGAAGGGTACCTGCAGATTGGTGTCACCACCCAGGCAGCCCAGAAGCTGAAAGATAAGGAAGTGGCTTTCTGGACAGAGCTCATGGCCAAGAAGGCAGCGGAAGAGCCACAACAGACAGAACACTGAAATGTAAGCGAGAGGCTCAGCTGGCTTCAGACAAGTGTATCTCAGACTAGAGAGCCCAGACAGAGGTATTCTACAGAGGTGTTTACGGGCCAAAAAGGCATCTCTTTGTGGAGGCTGGGGAGTTGTCTGGTGGGACTGGGAAGAAGCCAGAGAGGGTGGATTTTTGTATTTGTGGCCTCAATTTGGGGAATAAATGTTTTTTTGGACACCAAGTCAGAGTCTTAGGCTGAAGGTTAAGCCATCCTGCTTAGAGAGAGAAGGATGAAGACAGAGGGCACCATCAGTAGGAAGGTGCCTCTGGCTTGTCTGGGTTGGCCTCTGGGCAAAGAGAGTCCAGCAGCCTGGGTCTTGGGAGCTGCCAAGGTGGACTCTGCGTCTGCTCCACATCTATGGGCCCACAACAACTTCCAACAACGGGATGTGGCCTGGCCAAAGTGCAGTGTCCTCTCCCCTCTGTGGAACTACCTGTAGAGATGGAGGTGGCACAGACTGAGGATATGCCTGGAGTGGGAGAGAGGGGAGGTGCCGAGGTGACCCTGTGGCACTGTTGTGTGGCCCTTACTGACCCTTCCACAGGTCTACAATTCTTTCTTCAACATACACAGTATCTTACCAGGCCCATCCCCAAGGCTGTCTCTTCTAACAACTCATCTGAGCCCCTTCTGCAGCCTGGACAACTTCAGGTCCAAGATGTGACCTCGTAGAGTGAGTCCCTGAAGTGTCACCCTAAAACTTCTTCTTTCAGAATCCCTGAGGTGACTTCTGGCTTCTGCTGGGATGTAGAAAGCTCTAGGGAGTGTCACTTCCACCTTAACAGCAATAAATGGCTAAATTATCCTCGAAATCATCAGTTTTCCCACACCATTCAAGGAGCTGAGGTTGCAGGTGAACAATGACCCTGAAGTCTTGGGAAGACGGCACTTTGGAGGAGAGATGGGATGTGCATGCTGACTTACTATCTGCTACAGGCAGAAGATGGGGTCACCATAGGTGTGAGTATAATTACTCTATAAATTCTAATCAATTGCTAAAGGCCAAGTGTGGGCTAGTGTGAGAGTACAAGATTTCGGAGCCTCAGACCCATGGGGGAGTTTACACAGACTCTTCTCCAAGGACCTCCATCAGGGGCTCCTGAGAAAGATCAGGAGTAGGTAGTAAGACCAGAGAAAGCCTGCCTCAGGGGTGCAGGCATAGAGCTCTACTCAGACACTTCTCCCTTAAGGAATAAAATCTCTAAACCATTGGGAAAAGGGCAGCAAACCCACCTCCCTTGGGGTCCTGGGAAAGGCCTATTGAGGTGAGGCAAAGGAAAATTTAAAAACCCTCTTCCCCTGGGAGAGGGAGAGGAGACTACCCTGGGTCCTGGCCATTAGAGGTCTTTTACTGCTGGAGAGGGGCAGAATCACTGAGAAAGCTGCTCTCCCCACCACCAAGAGACACAGGTCCTGCCTAAGGTTGAGGCTGGACCAAGATAAGAGAAACCACTCCTGGATGCCACTTCAAGTTAGTCTACACCAAGTACTGAGCAGCAGAAATGTACCACTGGGGGAGGGGAAAGTGTGGACACTGATCTCTCTGAGGGGCGGGTGCACAGGGCAGGGCTAAAGCTGAGGGTGGAACAGGAACATTGAGGGAAACCTTTCAGCAGCTCTCGCCCTAAGCACAAGGTAACACTAGAAGAATGTGAATCAGGTGATGCACTGAAGATGACCATGGCAACAATGAAACCCAGACCCTGCTCAACTCCTGATGAATTAACTCAATTCTCCCAACCCACCCACACACACACAGTATCAGTATAACAAAAGAAATGGAATGCCCATTTCCAGTCATAAATACTATTTACTTCAGTTTCTACTTTCCTACACATGCTGCTGAGAGGGACTCTGGATCCTTCATCCAAAATTACAAACATGCAAACAAAAATTCTCCCTAACAAGAGACAAAATAATCAATAGAACCAGAATTAGAGGTAGCCCAGGTGTTTGAACTAACAGACTAGGAATCTAAAACAACTTTATCAAAAACTTCCACCAACAGATGGTTAATTTCAGCTACAGATAAAAACTACAAGGATGAAGTAAATGGAAATGTTAGAAATTTTTTAAAAATAGTAAGAGAGATGAAGAATATCTCCAATGGGTTTATCCATGCACTTGACACAGCTGAGGAAAGAATGAACTTGAAGAGAGGTCAACATAAATTACCCAGCTTAAATAAAAAGAGAAATAGGAATGGGAAAAAAAATGGTACAGAGGATCTAAGGGATGTGGGGCAATATTTGGTGGTCCAAAGTACAAGTAAATGGAATCCCAGAAGGAGAATGGAGAAAGAACAGGCAAAAAAAAAATATTTCGAAACATAATGGCTGAGAATTTTCCAAAAATAATGAAAAACATTAAAGCATGGATCCAGGAAGATCAGCAAACTCCAAGCAGGATTAAACAACAACATACACATCTAGACACATAATGAGAAAATATTGAAGGCAACAGAGGAAAATACGTGACATGACATGACATGACGTAGAAGGGCACCAGGGAGGACACTTGACCACCCCTACATATGGACAAAGGGAGGCCCAGAGAGGGGAAGGAACTGGCTCAAAGTTACCCAGAGGACATTGACAAACTACTGGAGTCAAACTGAGGCCTCTTTGCCCCTAAGAGGGGGTCTTTCAGCTGCACTGCCTGGCCATCCCCAGACTGACGCCCTCCACACAGGAATGGCCTTTCCCTCTTGACCACACTCTCCACTCCTTGTCCATCTGCATCTGCCTACAGCTGCTCCCCCTCCTCGCCCAGCTCCAGGGTATGAAACTGACTCTGTCAAATACACTTTGCCCCCACATTCCAGGCAGCTGTGAGAGGCGTGAGGCTTTGAATGTTCCAACAATGGACATTTCCCTTAAACAATTATGACTAACTAATCTTTGGGGAAAATGGTGGCATGAGCTGGTGTCTCATCTAGACCAAGTCATAACCTAAAATAGAGACAGGGCAAGCAGAGAAAGAAAGGAGAAAAAAACTTGAAAAAGAAAGACTAGAGATGAAAAAATTGCATGAAAGACTAAAGAAGCAGAAACCTACAGAGGATGAAAGAAATCCATTAGATACATGTTTTCCATCTGGCCTGCCCATTAGAAGCACGTGGGAAGCTTCTAAAAAATGCCATTGCCCAGGCCTCATCCTGATTCCTTTTCCTTTGGCCAGGATACAGTCCTGGGTATCAGGATTTTTTTCAAAGCTCCTTCTGTGAAGATGGTGTACAGCCAGAGTTGAGAACCACTGATCTGGTAGTGAGTTCCTGAGGGCATGGGCCCTTTCTCTCAGTCTCTGCATCTCCAGGTCCTTGCACAGAGTGTAAGCTGAGCGCAAGCATCCAGTTCGTGGCTGAATGCATGAGCAGGTGAGTAAATGAATTGTTTGCCAGGTTCCTGGAGATGGCAAAAAATGTAGGCCCACCCAGGATTTCTTCAGTGACTGGGGGCTTGTGGTAAGATTGCAGGAAGCAAGAAGGAAAGCAGTTCATTGAGCAGGCCTTGTGGAGACGGGAATGTTGTCTCGGAGATGAATCCGAGGAAGCTACAACAAGGTCATTGTGTGAATTCCCCTGCAGTGGCCCCCACCACCCCCTGACCTGGATATCCCCCTTCACGTCCACTCAGCCGCTCTGAGCCTCTGCTTCTACAGCTCCTGCCAATGCCCTCTGGGTCTGTTTGCTCAGGGCTTCTGCTCACTGTCACCTCACATTACACTCTGTCCCCTCCCCTGACCTCAGGCTTTCTCTGTACAGTTTCAGTTCAAACTTCCTGAGAGAGGAGGTCTGATGGGTTGTCTCAGTCACCCTCCAGTAGAGATCCTCCCTGACCAGGGTGTGGATCCACCCACTAGTCCTTCTTGGTCTGGGGCCTGCCCTGGACTGCTCAGCTGTGCCCACACCCATGGGGTCCAGCAGATCAACCCACATCTCACCCTTCAGAAGGGCACTGTGGGAAGGGCAGCCTTCTGAGGTTGGTCCCTCGTAACTGCAGGCCCTGCCCAGAGCTTCACCTGCTTGGTTCAGGAGGTGAGAGACTAATGAGGGAGTAGACGGTTAGCCCAGGGTCAGGAAATGTGGCTCTGTCTATTCAGTCCTTGGCGCTATCAGCTTATCTGTGTTTCTCTGTATGTTGGCACCAGGAGTAAATACGAAGGCAAGACAGCTAATGACTGGAGGCTTCCTGTCAGACTGTGGGCTCCTTAGGTCAGGACCAAGGTCAAATTCATTATCATTGTCCCTTAGCAAGTGCTTGGCAATGGGACTAGATGGACGAACTGGTAGATGGTGGCCAGATGGATCTTTACATGGTGGAAGTGGACATCAGCTTCAGTGACCTATTGATTATATCGTTGAACTCTATAGTAATAATAGTAACTAAGAATTATTGAATATTTATTATATGTCTTCATAATAAAGTACTTTTCATATTAATTCAAATAATCTTTACAGCAACTTTATGAGGTTAACACAGGTCCCAAGGAAACTCAACTAGTAAGTGACAGAGAGGACCAGCTACATAATTGGCTGTGTAAAAGAAAAACGTAATTTTGCATATTTTAGTTGTGCAGAATACAAATAATCCTTATTTTAATAAAAGTTATTAAGAATTTCAAGATGGTAGCAGCAGGGTATTAAAGCCACCATGGAGACTAGAGGCCTTCTGAGAGCCGGGGTCTGTGTGACTGCAGAGGTCGCATGCCCGTGAAGCCGGCTCTGGTGACAGAGCTGGATATGATCCTTGGCAGTCTGGCTGCAGAGCCTGAGTCCTTAAGTGCAAAGCAATCCTTCCTTCCTACACAGGACATTGTTTAAAATCCTTACCTGGGCTTGTCCTTATCTCTCACTTCATCAACTGATTCTGGCCAAAGGCAGCAATTTGAGAATTATCTGCCGCCCTCTTGTGGGCAGTGTCCATGTAGCCACACCTGCTTCAGGGATGGAGCCAGGACTTCAACCCC